TTTATAGCTGAAACCTCTTAATTTCTAGTACCAGTGGAGTCCTGTAGCTCAGTGGTTAGAGCACTCGCTTTGCAAGTGAGACACCTGGGGTCAATTCAGGGCAGGGCGAAACCTTGGGCAAGTTTCCTTACTCCACACACCTAATAATAATCCCTCCAAAACAAAACAATAATAAATTGGTCATTTTCAATCCACGACTGTTTGTGGGACACTGCTCTGCGCAATTGGCTGCCGCGTTTCGTCCACAAATATACAGTCAATTCACTTTACAGTCTATTCTGTGAAGCGCTTTGAGACGTCGAGAAGACGTGAAAAGCACTATATCAAATGCAAGGGTTATTATTATTATTATCAACTTGGTGAATCTAAGATGCACCTTTTCCTTTGCTTAGTCTGTCGGGGCAAGACATGGCCAGCATTAGATGGAGATGAGACACTTCTCTTGCAAGGTGGAAGGTACAATTAGGGAACAAGCCTCCTGGAGCTTCTCTTGCAAACCTCCAAGCAATTAACAGTCGTAGCAATTGTTTAAAGGTAGTAATGTAATAGATTGGCCTAGCAAGCGTCTCATTCAATAAACAATTGGAGTGGAATTTTATCTTAAAGGCCATTCAGCCTCTTGGATCTGAGCAAACCGAAGAGAACAGAAAAGTAAACAAAAGAGAGAGGTGACCTAAGAGGAGAATAAAGTTACAAAACAAGAGAAAAACAATTTTTTTTAAAAAAATCGTGCGAAGAACTTATGCACTTCAGAAACAAAACTGCAGTTGAGAAAATTTGTTTTCTTTCCTACATCTGCCTTTTCTACAATGTAATGCCTCACACGCAGGTCGAATCCAACACAATGATCCTGTTAGTGCTGCTGACCTTTCACTTTCTGACCTCAGCAATTGTATTCTGTCAAAACTTTTCAGTTCTGGGTTGATGCAGTACAAACAATGCACTGAATGGATTGTGTGCGTTCCTGCAAAGTCTCTGTCTGACCTGATCCTTCTTCTCTGTACTCAATAACTAGTTATCCAAAGAATGGGTTTCTGTTGTTATGCAGTATATGTAATTCTTGCATCCCTTTGCTGTTACCAAATTGTCAGGGAGAAAGAAGCCCCTTCTTTATAACTAGTGTTTTATCTGTTATCACATTGTAGGATAATAGTCCTTGCATTTGCATAGCGGCTTATCACGCTGTTGAGACATCTCAAAGCACTACACAGGATATATTGTAACGTAGTGTGTCTGTATATTTTGTGGACTAATGTATAGCATAAATGTGGAGAATGATTCTGAAAGACAGTGGTTTGTCTTTCCACGCAAGGATAATCATTTGTTAATACAATACAAAATTACATTTGGAAAGCACCTTTCACATCACAAGGACGTCCCAAGGCGCTGAATAGTCAGGGATTAGGACCCGAGCGGTGTGTGGTTGGAATCAGGGAGTGTGGAGCGCAGAGAGGGTAGGAGGGTGGCCAAAGGCACAGTTGAAGAGGAGGGTCTTGAGGCGTGCCTTGAAGGAGGCAAGGGAGGGAACAAGGCGAAGGAAATGTGGGATGGAGTTCCAGAGGATGGAGGCAGATGGTCTGAACACCGATGGTGGGGTCACGTATGATAATAATGTATGCCCTCATTTATTACACATTATGGCTTAACTCAGGCTAATGTATTGTCAATAGAATTCACAAACTCACTATATTCAACTAATTAGAGCTCTGCCCCCCAGATCTCACCTGCACAAAACTCCGTACTCCCGTCACACCAGTCCTTGCCAGACTGCACTGGCTCTCAATTACCGAACAAAGAGATTTCAAGATCCTCTCACTCGTTTTCGAATTCCTTCATGCCCGTGCACTTCCTACCTATCCAACTTGCTAACCCCCCCCCCATTCCCCCACCCGCTGCCTTCTCTCGGCTGGCTCCAGCTTCCTGCCTGTCCCTCGCTCCACCATCAATGCCCGTGCCTTCAACCACTACACCCTGAAACTCTGGAAATCTCTCCTTCAATCCCTCTGCCTTGCCCTCTCCCTCCCCACCTTGAAATCCTGCCTAAAAACCTTTTTTGATCACCTCCCCACTCCCTCTCCTCCTGGCTCAGGTCAGATTCCGCCACTCTCAAGCGCTCCGGGACACTACACTGAAGGGCCCTATATAAATGCAGGTTGTTATTGTATATATGTATCCAAACTGAAAATGAGTGAACACTTTAGAAACTTTAAAAATTAAAACGAGATTATAACAAGAATAATTTACACTTTTACATAGGGTATTTCGCATAGGAAAATGTCTCGAAGCACTTTACAGAGATGGAGTGGAAATGGGGTGCAGCATAGAATGGGTATTTAATTTAAACTACGATTTTTGTTGGATTTCTGGTGTTTTTAAAACAGGAAAGGAGAGTAGGCTTCTTTCTCCACTGTAAATTTTACGAGACAGAGGGAAGGTTGTTTCCGAAAACTGCAGCATGATAACTGAAAGCTCAGCTGTCAACGGTTGGCCAGAGGGGGCCAAGGGGACTGTTGGTGATTGCAGAGGTAGGTGTGGGGCAAGGACTTGAGCAGTTCATGAGCACTGAATGTCACTGTCATTGTCACTGAATATTGCAGCAGTAAAGAAGAAATTGCAATGCTAGTAATCACATTATAATTCATTGTTAAAAACAATTTAGTAAAATAAATGATTTGCCCTTAAAGGAATCAACAGATCAGGTTGTGAAGGTTGATTAAACAAGGAAGAATGTCAACTATACGTGCCATAACACTTCACCTGATGCAGGACATAAACACTTCCAATACTACCAAACATTTCCATTGATACCAAAATAAAAGTAATAGAATATTACAGCACAGAAGGCCTATTGTCCCTGTGCTGGCTTTTTGGAAGAGCTACCCAATCAGTCCCACTCCCCTGCTCTTTTCCCAAATCCTTGCACATTTTTCATCTTCAGGTTCCTATCCAATTCCCTTTTGAAAGTTGTTATTGAATCTGTTTAAACCACCCTTTCAGGCAGCGCATTCCAGACCAAAACAACTCTCTGTGTAAAAAAAAGTTGTCCTCATCTCCCCTCTAGTTCTTTTACCAATTATCTTGAATCTATGTGCCCTGGTTACTGATCCACCTGCCAGCGGAAACATTTTCTCTCGATTTACTTTGTCAAAATCCCTGCTATATAAGTGCAAGTTGCTGACGAGAAGAAAATGCAGACAGGAGCTAGCTTGGTTTTAACATGTCATCTGAAAGTCAGCATCTCTTACTCTGCTTGATTGTAGCAGCAACACAGAACTTCTGTACTGTTGAATCATAGTACTATAACAACAACAAGAAGATTCCATTTATTGAGCGCCTTTCACGTCGGGAGGACGTCCCATGGTGCTGACACCACATTTAGGATTTGTGCTGGAGGCAGCTATGTGATGCTTTAATGTTACCAACACCTTCCTAACCCAGTGTAGAAGATTGCTGAAATTATCTATTTCAGCAGTCTTCTACACTGGGTTGGGGAGGTGTTGGTAACTGTAAAGCATCACATAGCTTTCAGAGAATAATAATCCCTGCATTTGGATTTTACAATATTGGTTCCATATCAGACCTTTGGATCATGGGTTTAATGTCTACATCACTCTATATCGAAAACTCTGGGCAAAAGCAACAAATGTCAAACATGCAGTCACAATACCTTCCAGGTTCAAAACAAATTCAGCAAAGCTATATTCAACAACTAATTATACTTGTATAGCTCTCTTCACATTGGAAAGACGTCCCTATATTCAGTATAGGGTAGATAATCACCTAGATCCTCAAAGTTTTGAATAGCATATTGTCACATAGAAATAAGCCATTCGAAGTCTCTGTGACCCACTCCAATCCTAAGCCCATACCCTGGGCCAATAGAAAAGTGCGGAAATATTTGTGACAATTGCAGGGCCTTTGACATATTCCCGGAGAATTGTGGAGGGTTGATTGGTGCAATTGAGACACATTTTGTGAAACAACCCGGATTAAAACTACAGGCATATTTCCTGAACATGTAGCTATGGTTAAAATACAAAAAATGTTGATCTTAGTAGTACAGCATTTACCAAGAATTGGTTGCAGGAGCTTAGTTTAGGCCACCGAGCGAAGCCTATTTCCTACCCACACCGCTACTGTCATCCCAACCCTCTCCACGCCACACAATTGCGACTGGAGCCGCTCCATCCACAGTAAGTGTCGAGCAAATGGAGCGCAGAGCCTGGGGCCCAGCACTGTGTGTAGGCGGAGAGTTAGGAGCACATCTGTAGCGGAGAAGCCCGTTTGTAACAGATTTTGCGGAAAAAGGTGCAGCCGCACGGTTCAATTGGCTCAACCTATAGATAGGTCTGAATAGCCTCTGGCCATTTTTATCCCTCCAAGACTAAAGGATGGATAAAAAATACTTCTTGAATTATGACGTTGGTCAAGAGAATCGCCAAATTCAGGGACTGCATCAGTGTTCTACTTATTGTTCACTGAGCTCCAAGATTTCATTAGAAAATTTTCTAGTTTTACCAGAAATAAAGTAACAAAAGAAGATTCTAATTACACACAGCTTAGCCAGTCCATTCAGCAGTTAGTAGTCACCCTCTTCTTAATTAACAGCCACGTTTTACAAAGTACAAAGATGCTTAATGTAAAATGTAAAAGGTGACGTCCCCTCACAGAGATTTGAAAGGAGTTTGGGTAACGAAAATGAAAAAAAAGCAAGTGAGAACTTCACCCAGCATTTAGAAATTCTGAAAGACATATAGATGTAAACAAGCTATTTGACTTGCTTTTGAAACCTTCATCTTATTAATCTGAAGGGCAGGAGTGAAGTCCCTGACTGCGTATATTATGTATGATGGATGAAAAGAGTGGGCTTGATTGTGTGAAAGGACTTTCTTGTTCATTCCTTTATTCACTGAACCCAAAGAATACTAAAATTCAATTTCTTCAACCAAAGCAACATTAAATCATTTTATTTTTTTTTAGAAAAAAACATGCACAGTAAATAGGAGAACTAGGTTTATTTCAAATTGGATGTCACAAACCAAAGCAGGCATCAGGTGTCACAGCTATGCACAATTTTTCACTCACCCACATTAACTTTTAGTACAATTCACCACCAAGTTATTGCTATATAAAAACAAAGTTAAAACTTTCAAACTAGGTTGCGATTTTCACATTTTAAAAAAAAAATTCACCTTGAGCACTAAATTCAAAACTTCCAAGCTTAAAAGCTGATGGAATGTGTATCCAATTTTTCCCCCCCTCAAAAGAAAACTTCAATTGTGAAATGGCTCCCTTCGAGCGCTGTCAGAAGTTACAAGTACTAACAACAACAACAACTTGCACTTGTATAGCGCCCTTCACGTCGAAAAGATGTCCCAGGTCGCTGGACAGTCGAGGGTTTTTGGACCCGAGCTGGGAGTTGGGGTCAGGAGGGGTGGCGGGCAGGGGCCTGGGAGGGTGGCCAAAGGCATGGTCGAAGAGGAAGGTCTTTAGCCGGGACTTGAAGGAGGCAAGAGAGGGGGTGAGGTGGAGGGATTGTGGCATAAGAGTGTGGGGGTTAAAGAGTGTGGGGGTGGAGATGCTGAATGCCCAATCGCCAATAGTGGGGTGGGAATTGCAGGGGACCTGAAGCAGGGGACTGCCGAGCAGAGGGAGTGGACAGGCTGATATGGGGTTAGAAAGTCGGAGAGGTAGGGAGGAGCAAGTCTGTGGAGGGCTTTGAAGGTGACCATCTTATTCTGGGGATGCTCAAAAGGTTTCTCCTAACAATGTACATCAGTATATGTAAAGTTTACTACCAGTCCTAAAAATATTTGCATTTACAAAATACTTGATAAAAAATATTTTCAATTGTACAAGAGGTACATAAAATCAACTGAAGATAGTGGCAGGCGTTTCACTTATTCTCGTCAGTTGCAGATTCAGGTTTCGGAGCCTGTAAACAAAAATAGTCCCATTAGATATTGAAGAAACCACTGCAACCCTGTAAAACTATTGCTCAAATTAAAACACACCCACACAAGCACTGCAAAAGTTGCCAGATGGTGCTGGTAAACAGGATTCGCTATCAACCACCCAATATATGTAATTGTTGACTTTCAAGGAAAAATGGGGATCTGCAGAACCACCTGATGAGCATCACTGTCCATATGTTTGTTCATAATAGTCTAACACCTTCCAAATCGCTCCTTTTTAAAAAAACACTATTGACTATTTATGCTCTCACTCTACCCAAACTGACCATATACCTAATAAAAAACATTCAATTCATAATTAGATGTTAACCGGAAACAGTTTTTTAAAAAATTGTATACAACTGGAACTAGAAAATTTCCACTTGGAATTGTTCAGAATGACACTAAACAGTCAATGTAGGTAATGTTTGCAAGACTGGTTTGACTTCATTAAAAAAGGAAATGAAATCTAGGGGGAGTACTTTTTGTTGACAGTTCTTACTAAAAAGAACAACAATATTCTAAAACAATATGCTCCCTGTCATAAACAATCTCACTTTAACCCAACACTCTCTTTCCCCACACCCCCCTCCCCAGGAAGCTTTGATCTTTTTACAATTATCTTAATGGTGTTTTATCAGCGAAGTATTTCCTCAGTAGGAATAATTACCTGTTTTGGTCACAATATTCTCAAGGCTTGCTGCATTATGAAACCAAATTAAAATTTAAAATGATTTACTACTGTGCCTGAATCACTCAACGATTTAAACTAGAATAGACTTAATCTAGAGCACGGTCATACTATGATACCTGTTCCCATAGGTCAGAGTGACACACTTCTGGCTCCAGGAATCCCCATTTGCACAACTCAATTGCTCATTAAGAAACCCCATTAAGATACATTACAAATGTTCCAGACCTCAACACATGGCATATTGCAGTCAATTATATATTTGGAGCAAGATTTAGTACTTCATGTGATTACAAACACTCCTCTAGAAATCAACTGTTGGAAACAGAGAGTTTAACATTGCACACTCTGATAATCTTACCTGCCTAACCACCGACTGGAACCCAACCGTTTAAAAAAAATCAAAAAACATACACAGCACAGCACTCACTGCCTGTTGCTATCCACTGCACACAATAGATACTACCATACCCTTAACTGCCACTGTTTCAATATGCCCTTTCACTGATAGTGAGCTGGATGGAGGGCCTCTAGCTGAAGACACACTAACACACGAGCGAGTGATGTGGATCTGCAACAAGTAGCGAGTAAAAAGATTGATCATGCAATGCAATTGCTAAAACTGGATTTAAAAGCTTCAGTTGCAAGTCACAAGTTGTAATGAACATGTGCTGTACCTCATCAGTTTTGTCACCATTTTCAGCAGGTGCAGGGTCATCACTGCCTGCCTCTGACTTCTCTTCTTTCTTCTTCTTCTTGGCAACTTGATTCTTGACCACTGACTTGACTCCTCTCTACAATGTAAAAGAGACCAGGTTAAACGGGAAATACCTTTATTTCTGTTGCCAGTTTGTGAGAATTTAATGCTGAATAGCTTACCCATCAGGTACGTCACAGTCGTGAACACTTTTTCATTAAGAAATTAAACTCCAAATTTAGAAAGGGGAAACTCTTAAGTTTGTGTCAAACTCATCTACTTTTCAGTTCTGTCCTGAATTATATCAAAAAAATTCGACACCAGGTTGGGAAGGATACCTTAGGTACAACAATAGCTTTCTTTCTAATTTTTTCAAATTCCATATTACAAAAATAGTAACAAGAACTGTGGCATGGGAATTTTGAGAATCTACATGTTCAGCTTGGTTCAGAGCTGTGCAACTCAGCACTTGGCCTCAATCTGACACTTCAGCGCAATGATGGATGAACATATATATATTGCTCCAGGAAAGTGATGCAAGTAGAAGTTTCCTGAAAAGGAATTTACACAATGGCCGTAAAAGAGACTATGCTTGAGCTTTCAATGGGGAGTGCTGTCCTACCAGGGAAAAATAAATACAAATAGGTTCACTCTACTACACAATTTGCTAACATGAATTTTATAATAATAATCCTTGCATTTGATATAGCAGCTTATCACGTAGTTGAGATTCAAAGCGCTTCACAGAATATACTGTATAGTGAATTGACTATGTTTTGTGGGTGAAACAAAGCCTTTGGTCCAGAAATAAATTATTTTGGGAAATATCCAGGGTCACCAACATAAAACAATGAAACCCGTAAAGGTGGCATGTATGGATACTTTTCAGAAATCAATTTTCTTGACATAAATAGGTGAAATAGTTTAAATCGACCCTCAAATGCTATATGTGACCGATGGATAAAATTAAATACCCCACACAAATCCAACATTTCTGCATTCAGGGATTGTTGGAAAGGCACCTAATGCCTGGAAGCCGAGATTCAGTGCTTTTTTTGATGTGACAGAGGTGGGGTCCCTGCCTTGGCTAAGTGTGAGATACAGCAATTTTGGGGTCTTGCTGAGTAATAAAATGTATTGTTGACATGCTGGGTAACTATCTGGCACTACTGAGACATGTAGGTTTACATTTTATATTTTACAAGTCAAAGCCTGACTGAGTAAGGTTAATCACAATACCATAATTTTTTTTAAAAAACAGCTTCTTCACATTAGTAAACTTCATGATCACCATTGCTTTATTAACCCTCATTGGACCCAAAGCAGTGAAGAAATGGGATTTATAACGCTCACGATAGAAAGGGTATGGGGATAAATCAGGCAAATCGATTGAATGACCATCTTGCCACCATAATGGGCCAAATGCCTTCCTTTCGCACTAAATGTCTATGATTCGAACCAGGTTACATCATAGAAAGATACAGAATTACAAAAATATCTAACCAAGTGATCTTTGCTTAAAGGGATAAATTGTAGCATTTACTTTGACTCTGAAGTTAGATTCTCAAACCACTGGAAATCTACCCAGGGTATCAGCCTGGCTCAGTTGGTGGCACTCTCTCCTCCAAGTTAGAAGGTCGTGGGCTCAAGCCCCACATCGAGACTTTGAGCTTAAGAGTCTAGGCTGACACTTCAGTACATTTTTGGCGGTGTGCTACTTGGTCAGTTCCTTAACTTGGGATTTTAAGAGATTTTTTTCAGTGGGGGTGTTGAAGAAAGGAGATTTGGGTTTCTACTGGTACTTCAGCTTTCCCCAGTTACCACACTATCACACCCATAACGCTGTCAAATAAACACCGCAAGGACCGATCACCAGAAACACTTTTAAGCTAAAGCACCCAATGAGTGGCAGCCACTGGTATAAAGTGACAACAGTTGCTGCTTTCTAATAATCGGGTCCTGTCCTAACATTGTGAAAACTCCACAATGCCAACAGCTCATTTCACTGGTTCGCCAATAGGAGCTTCCTCAGTCAGCAACTTAAGACACAACCCTGAAAGATCTCATCTGTTGGGCCCCATAATCTTTTGAGGCCCCATTTCCTTTGATCAAATCGTTGTGTCATCAACTTGAAATCAAAACCATTAACATTAACCGTATTTTTCAGCAATGAAGGTACCAACTTACCTGAGATTTTGGGGGCACCTCGCAAGACTAGATCAATAGCAGAAGCCAAGTGAGCTCATGTAACCCCCAAAAACCATTTACAGCCACAAAAGAAGACAGAATGCTTTTTGCCTGCTTTCAATTTCTCAGTACGTACTTCAATAAAGACAAGGGGGGAGAATGAAGGGAACACAAATTCACAAATGGAAACATGCTACAAGCCAAGCATGTGATAAGTTTTGAGAAGATTTTAGAGTTCTGAATATCTTGTGCTTATCAAGCCAAAATAAATACATCTTTTAATCACAAGAACTTTACAAAACTTGACATTACTTTTGAAATAGGGACAGAACATGCCCATCAATGTGGCGATATCAAGTTTTTTTCTCCTTCAAATAATAAATTGCTAGCAACAAAGCATAAAATTCAGAACATTTAAGTGGTTTTAATAGGAAATTGAATGGGACTCAGGTGAATTTACAACAGGCAATTATAAAATTTATAAAAACTAATGTGAGTTTTACTCTTTATTCAACAAAGACCAGGAGATTGGGAAAGCTACAATTCAGGCAAAACATTAGATCAACAAATCCCAAATTATTTTGCAGCAGAACAAGGAATATTTAATGGACAAACCTGATCTGTCAGCATGATCCCAAGTGGGGCACAACTTTTTTTTGTAAAACAAGAAACACATTTGTGTTTGGTTTTAATTAATTGGGGCATGTATATGCTACCCACAAAGTTAATGTGATATCAGCAGTACTTCCTGGGTTTATTGTACAATATGAAGGAAGCGACATCAGTAGCAACAAGATCTGGAAGTCAGTCTCACTCATTTATTTAATGCGGTGGCTGAGCGTATGAACCCAGATCACACTATGACTGGGCATATAACATATATATATATTATACACACACACACGTGGTATATATGACAGTAGAAGGAATTCAAAAACCAAGGCATTCAAGAGCACATACAGTTAAAACAGTCATAGTGAACACCGTCAAGTCATTGTAACACGCAAAGTGATGGAGCACGTCATTATTCTCTAAGTCAGCTATCAAGTATAGCTGCATAGAGGCAAGTTTGGATTACCATGTAATCATGAATAATATTGGACAACACAAACAATTCAACACCCACTTTATCTGCAATTAATCACAGCCATTTATTGCCAAAAGAACCTGCGAATGTGTGTTGTACACCAATTTTTTTAAAAAAACAGTATCTAAATTCTTACCTTGTTGGGTTTTGCTTTGGGCTCTGCTTTGGGCTTAGCGGAAGGAACTGGCTGTAAACATAGTTTAGAATAGTGAGACTGTGTATACAACAAGCAATTAAAAGTTACAGTATATTTTTAAACAACTTGATGTCCCAAGATCACTTCAGCACCATCATCACAAATGAATATTCAATGGATAACAAGCTTCTGATCCAATTACAACTAAGACAGAAGGCAGCCTGTGAGCTGTTCCTAGCAACTCAAATAGTACTCAGATTACTCACTCCTCCTTCATGCAGGTTATTATCTTCCTTCAGTAAATTTGTATTAGGGATGGAATTGAGTATATACAACATAATTTACATTTACAAGGTGCCTTTCACATCAGGACATCCCAATGCTCTATATACTGCTGTCTGGGAACCCGAAGTTGGGGGGGGGGGGGAAGGAGAATGATAACTAAAAGCACCAGTCGAAGGAGCAAGGCTTGAGGCAGGTTTAATCCATCTAAAAAAATAAAAAGTGGGAAACAAAATATCCTCATTTCTTCCAGCTACTGTACATTGTACTTTTAAGATACTTTTGCAACTCAGAACAATTAAAACAAATGGAAAAATGTGATCTCTGGTACAGTAAGTGTTGAAGATGCAAACTACCTCCCAGCGGGTTCTGCAATGTAGCCATTAGGCTTCCAAAAGGTTGCAAGCTCAAATTAATTCTTATTCTTTGCTCATAGTATTATTATTATTATAGTATTTCCATTATCAATGTCTAAATGTCACAGCAACTCCCACTCCTCCCTCATTTAATGCCCATACATCTCGAGCAGGAGTCGCTGGAAAGCAATCAAAAAGAGTCTGATACCCATAAGAGATAAATTAACTCAGAACAGTAAACTATTTATGAAATGCATCTTAAATGCATTATTTTTTATTTCCCTGCATTTTTAATAAGCTATTTCTATAGTTTGTTTTAATCAATCTACACCAAAACATCCATGGACCCACCAATGTTCTCGTGTTGCTGTGCCCAGGCACAATATATAGTGCTAAAAAAAAAACAACCTGTGCTATGTTGATGCACAACAGAGGGTTTCTCTATACAAACGACAGCCAGACAGACATCCCAAAGCGCTTCACAGGATATACTGTAAAGTGCAATGATTATGGATTTTGTGGCCGTGAACGTGTGTATAAGACGATTTTACTCCTGTGCCTTTTTCCTGTAGTTCTGCTACAGGTATTCAGGTTACAGTTCCTGCTGTCCAAAAGCTTGACAACGTCACACTGCAAAGCAGGACATTTACCCATATACAGAAAGTTGCCACATCCGGAGCTTATTACAGGTTGGATCTTCAAAAATGCATCACCAAGAAAACTGGTTATTTTACACAATGGAACTGCATTATAGTGTGCTTTGTTATAACTCGGGTTTGGTATTGTGCAATTGGAGGGTAGACTCCAACATTTATTTTTTATAAAATGCGCAGAGAGCAACCTGGCTCATTCCAAAATACTGGCGGGCTTTCAGACCACAGCCACAGGAAGCTATCTAACCTCTGCACACATGTTCAGAAGCACTGATCGACAATTGTACCCCTATGTAATAACTGGGTTGTAATGTATTTTGACAGTGGTTTCCAGAGGAGGGTTAGCCTCAAAATTCAATGTAAAAGGTCTTTAAATCCAGTTTTTTTTTAAAAAAAATGCACGTTTCCGGTTCACTGACTAATACAACTGATGCCGAGAAACCATGCTCCAAAATAATACATATCACTGTCAATTTTTTTTCAAACTGTGTGGTATCAGAGTAGGTGATGAAAATACAGGTCAACTGAAATCTGAAGCAAGATCAGGGGTAGTGTTGACCAACATCAAACCACAATGGACTCTACTTCCTGCCTTCCCTCCTCCGATAACATCTCTGCTCCATGTTCACATGCAAGGTGAACCTTTCGGATGGAGCTCCGCTCCCCCTTCCTACTTTATCTTTAAGGTATAGTTTAACTCGCCGCACTTTTCACAACATGATCAGTTTCCCTCCACTTCAAGCAGAGATGAAACCAATTACTGTATTTACAAAACTACTTACTTGTATCCGTCTCGCTCTCAAGACCTGCAAAAAAAATTAAGAGTTATTACCATCCATTGGCAAATTCTTCAACAAGGAGCACCAGCTTACATTGTAAACATTTTTGTGAATTATTAATTTGTTGTCAAGAAACAATAAAAACAGTTATGCTGGAAGCATTAATTCAAAAATGCTATTTTTACAGCTTTAAGATTCTTACCATCCTTTCTCCACTTGCTGCCTCCACTGGTTCCTGAAAGACAACATTGTAATTATGAATCTGAATTCTCTGGATCTACCAAACAGCTGCTTTTTTTAAAAAAGGGGGGAGGGGTGAGGAAGAGAGGGAAAACAAGACAGACACATAGTTTATGATGCTACCAAACTTCGTAGGAGCTGCTACTTAACAAAATTCCTTTTGCTATTGCACCGATTGCTCAGTATTCATTCCACCTTTCCCATTTTAACTATTAAAAGCATGATACAAAATTACAAACATCAGCATATATTTTTTCAAAAAATTCAACTTTTCAAAATAAAACACAAGTCAAAGCAGCAAAATAAATCTGTCCCGATAGCGAACTACAGTAGTTTGCAGTTTATATCAACAAGTAACTGGGTAAACCCCAAAAGTTTGCCTGTTCATAGCGCCACTAATGCCACTTCCTGCGCACTATGTTCAGGTAGTAGTGGAAAGCACCAATGCTGCCTGCGGATAGTACCAGCAACATCAGCGACAACCCCACATTCTGCTATAACGTGATGTCAGATATTGTCCCCAGGCAGAGCCGTGTTATAATACACTGCAGTTAATTTTAAAAATTATAAAATAATTTTGACAAAGCTAAACCTGCAGAAATGCATGAAAGCATGATACAAGTTATCATCACAAACAGCAATCAGTCGCAATTTTTTTTTTAAAAAAGAGAATCCCAGTGAAACTCACACATTAATTGATTACAAAATGGTAAGCCTGCCAAAGGTATTTGAAATACATAACAGACTTTACTATGACTCTCCACCTTAGAGCAAATAGTTGCAATATATTGTAAACAAACACAAAATACTGCAGATGCTGGAAATCTGAAAACAAAAACAGAAGTCGCTGGGAACACTCAGCAGCATCTGTGGAGAAAGGAAAGTGAGTCAACATTTCAGGTCCACGACCCTTTGTCAGAACTGGGACATGTTGGGAGGGAGAGGCCTTTAAGGGCTAACAGAGAGGGGGGAGACAGGACAAGGAAGACAAAAGGGGAAAATGGGGTAGAAGACAGGGGGATGATGGGTTAAAGAGGTATTAATGATGCAAAACAAAGTGGGGGATTGCAACAAAATAGTGGGATAGAGGTGTTAATACTGCAGAACAAAAAGGGGGGAAAAATAACTTGCAACAAAAAAGGCAGATCAAAGAGAGAAAAGGTGTGTCTGGGACCCAGGTGATATGGTCCCAGACGCACCTTTTCACCCCTCACGCTGCTGAAACTCTGGTCCACGCCTTCATCACCTCAAGGCTGGACTATGGGAACTCTCTCCTCGCCGGCCTTCCCGGTACCTCCCTCCACAAGCTGCAGGTCATTCAGAACTCTGCAGCTTGTGTACTGTCCCGCACCAGGCTTCGCGACCACATCACTCCCACCCTCGCTCGCCTCCACTGGCTCCCCATCCCCCAGAGGATCGATTTCAAGATCCTCATCCTCACCTACAAGGCCATTCACGGCCTCGCTCCCTCCTACCTCTCCAACCTACTATCCCCCTACCTACCTGCCCGTACCCTCCGTTCCTCTGGCTCCGGTCTGCTCCACATCCCCCGCCCCAACCGCCCTACCATTGGTGGCCGAGCCTTCAGCCTCTCAGCCCCGAGGCTCTGGAACTCTATCCCCCGGTGCCTTCCCCCTCCTCGCTCCCTCCCTTCCCTCCCCTCACTCTGACCATTTCCCCCCTGCTCGGGTCCTGACCCAACTGTCCAGCGCCTTGGGACGTCCTCCCGAGGTGAAAGGCGCTCAATAAATGGAATCTTGTTGTTGTAATGGTGACCGAAGAGCGGGAGGGGGAAGGTGAGTTGTTATGGTCTAAAATTGTTGAAATCAATATTGAGGCCAGAGGGCTGTAAGGTCCCTAACAGATAAATGAGGTGCTATTCCTCAAGCTTGCGCTGTGGCTCATTGGAACAGCGTAGGATACCGTGGATGGAGAGGTCAGAATGCGAGTGGGAGTTGAAGTGGCAAGAAACCGGAAGCTCAGCGTTGTGTTTGCAGACAGGACGGAGGTGTTCGGCAAATCGGTCACCCAATCTGCGTTCCGTCTTCCCACTGTAGAGACCGCATCGTGAGCAGCGAATGCAGTAAACTACATTGGTGGTAAATCACTGTCTCACTTGAAATCTGTGTTTGGGGCCCTGGACAGTGGAGGTGAAAGGGCAGGTATTGCATCTCCTGCGCTGGCACGGGAAGGTGCCGGGGGGAGGAGAGCAACTACTAGTGCTGATGGAGGAATGAACCGGGGAGTCACGGAGGGAAAGGTCCCTTCGGAATGCCGAAAGGGGAGGGGGAAATATGTTTAGTGGTTGGGTCACGCTGGAGGTGCCAGAAACGGCAGAGAATTATTTTTTGGATGTTGAGGCAGGTGGGGTCAACCAATCGCATTCGGGTCACCCAATCGCGTTCATTCTTTTAAAAAAAAATCGTGAAATTACATCTGAAATTAATTTTTTTTTAAAAAAAGCTACAGAACTTAAATTTAAACACATGCTAGTAGACTGCAAGCAAATTTACAACAAACACGTTCAAAACATATCTACACACGGAGGAACAACGTTTTAGAAATGTGCAGTGTTTTAAACAACAGCCGCAATTGGCAGGCGAGTAAATGAGATCATCTCTGAAATTTTAAAAATAAACAAACTTAAACGATCCACCCCTTCTCTGACTCCAACACCAACCTCTCGCTACTGCCCCAGGGATTCAGTTCCTGCCTTTTCACTTTCAGACTGCATCACTAGTGGCGCTTTTTTTCAAAATCCTGTGCACGCCCTGAAGTGATCAACTGTCACACCACACACACACACACGTAAACAGTGTGAGCAACTCACAACATACACACACGTAAACAGCGTGAGCAACTCACAACACACACACGTAAACAGCGTGAGCAACTAACACACACACACGTAAACAGCGTGAGCAACTCACAACACACACACACGTAAACAGCGTGAGCAACTCACAACACACACACGTAAACAGCGTGAGCAACTCACAACACACACACACGTAAACAGCGTGAGCAACTAACACACACACGTAAACAGCGTGAGCAACTCACAACACACACACGTAAACAGCGTGAGCAACTAACACACACACGTAAACAGCGTGAGCAACTAACACACACACACGTAAACAGCGTGAGCAACTAACACACACACGTAAACAGCGTGAGCAACTAACACACACACACACGTAAACAGCGTGAGCAACTAACACACACACGTAAACAGCGTGAGCAACTCACAACACACACACGTAAACAGCGTGAGCAACTCACAACACACACACGTAAACAGCGTGAGCAACTCACAACACACACACACGTAAACAGCGTGAGCAACTCACAACACACACACACGTAAACAGCGTGAGCAACTCACAACACACACACACGTAAACAGCGTGAGCAACTAACACACACACGTAAACAGCGTGAGCAACTAACACACACACGTAAACAGCGTGAGCAACTAACACACACACGTAAACAGCGTGAGCAACTAACACACACACGTAAACAGCGTGAGCAACTAACACACACACACGTAAACAGCGTGAGCAACTCACAACACACACACGTAAACAGCGTGAGCAACTCACAACACACACACACGTAAATAGCGTGAGCAACTCACAACACACACACACGTAAACAGCGTGAGCAACTAACACACACACGTAAACAGCGTGAGCAACTCACAACACACACACACGTAAACAGCGTGAGCAACTCACAACACACACACACGTAAACAGTGTGAGCAACTCACAACATACACACACGTAAACAGCGTGAGCAACTCACAACACACACACGTAAACAGCGTGAGCAACTCACAACACACACACGTAAACAGCGTGAGCAACTAACACACACACGTAAACAGTGTGAGCAACTCACAACAGAATAAACAGTGTGAGCAACTGACAACATACAAATAGTGTGAGCACCTCACACATGCTCGTACGCATATACACACACAAATAGTGTAAGAAACGCACAACACACAAATAGCAACAGACACCTCTCATTGATGTATAAACATTTGCCACTGGAACCCTCTGTTGCCACCTCTGGGTAACAGGCAATACTCTTGGGGGAAGGGAGGTTAGGTCTGAGCCAAGCGGGAACAGCTCATTTTACCCAGCAGTAGTGAATGTATGTGTGTGTTGCAGTTGGAGGGAGGGCATTGAGCTGATAAACAATTGTCCAGCAGTAGTAAGCGAATGTGTGTGTGTGCGCATGTGTATTTTGTCCACAAAATAGTCAATTCACTTTACGGTATATTCTGTGAAGTGCTTTGAGATGTCTCAGAGATGTGATAAGGCACTATATCAAATGCAAGGATTTTATTATTATATGGGGGGGTCTGATATGATGACAAATTACACCACCAGCTTTACTGAGTATGTTGAGTCTGTAAACATTTGCCCCAGCAGCAAGTGAGTGTTTTGGGTATCAGCCTGGCTCTCACCTCAGAGTCAGAAGGTTATGGGTTCAAGTACTATCATGGGACTTTGAATTCAGTCAAGATTGACACTTCAGTGCAGTGCTGGGGCATTTTGCATCATTATAAGGTGCTAATCTGCAGATCAGAAATTAAACTAATGCCCTTCAGCCCATTAGGTGGACATTAAAGATCCCATTGACACTATTTGACAAGTGAAGGGAGTTTATCCTGGAGTCCTGGCCAACAATACCCCAAATAAAATCAGCTGTTCACTTCATTGGCTGTTTGTAGGACATCACTGTGCACAACCCGGCTACAGTGTTTGCCTGCAGCCAGATACACATTCACTGTGCTACATCCTGCAAAGCTTTTTTTTAAAAAAGAGATGTCCTCTTTACACGATCCCCTCTTCTTTCCCCCACCCCTCCAGAATCCAAGCCCCACCTCGGGTGCAAACCCCTCAACCATCCAGGGTCTTGGGACATCTTCCCGACATGAAGTGCATGACATAATTTGTTGCTGGAAGGTGCTGTACCAAATGCGCGGATTCTTATTGGGCTGATGAACAACTGCCAGCGGGGTTTTGTGTGTATGAGTGAGTGAATGAATCTGGTTACACTTGCCCCAGCAGCAGTGTGTGTGTGTGTGAGTGAGTGAATCTGGTTGCATTTGCCCCAGCAGCAGCGGCGTGTGTGTGTGTGTGAATCTGGTTACACTTGCCCCAGCAGCAGTGTGTGTGAATCTGGTTGCACTTGCCCCAGCAGCAGTGTGTGTGTGAGTGTGTGAATCTGGTTGCCTTTGCCCCAGCAGCAGTGTGTGTGTGTGTGTCAATCTGGTTGCACTTGCAGCATCAGCAGTGTGTGTGTGTGAATCTGGTTGCACTTGCCCCAGCAGCAGTGTGTGTGTGAATCTGGTTGCACTTGCCCCAGCAGCAGTGTGAGTGTGTGAATCTGGTTGCACTTGCCCCAGCAGCAGTGTGAGTGTGTGAATCTGGTTGCACTTGCCCCAGCAGCAGCAGTGTGTGTGTGTGAGTGAGTGTGTGAATCTGGTTGCACTTGCCCCAGCAGCAGCAGTGTGTGTGAGTGTGTGTATCTGGTTGCACTTGCCCCAGCAGCAGCAGTGTGTGTGAGTGAATCTGGTTGCCTTTGCCCCATCAGCAGCAGTGTGTGTGTGAGTGAGTGAATCTGGTTGCCTTTGCCCCAGCAGCAGTGTGTGTGTGAGTGAGTGAGTGTCAGTGCTGGGACACGCCTTGCTGTAGGCGGGGGGGGGGGCGGGGGGGTGATTGACAGGTACATACGGGCTCTGCCTGTTGTCCGGAGGCGGAGGTTAGTATTAAACATGGCCCTTTGGCATCGACAAGAGGGAGGCAGAGAGAGGAGTTAACACCACACGCTCCCTGGTGCCGGGCTCTGCTTTTACATAAAACACAAACCCGCAGTTGCCGCCTTTTTACCCCCAGAACCAAACACCCGATTTTTTTTTAAAAAAATAACATCATTTCTCCCCCCACCACCACCACCCACCGTTACAAATGGCAATGCAATCGATATATGTATATAGATATAGATATCTCTCTACATACATATATATATCTATATAAATGAACCCGGCAGCGAGCAGAGCAGCGGAAGCCTGAAATGAATCCCGCAAAACGAACAAGAGCGAGTGTGGAAGTGAAGGGAAGGAGAGGAGACAGACATCATGGAGGGGGGGAGAGGGAGGGAGAGAGGGGGAGGGAGGGAGGCGCTGGTGCACAGTGAAGCGCTCTCCAAACCCCCATTTTCAAACCACAGACCTCCCCTTCTCTCTCTCCCTCTCTCTCTCCCTCTCCTCTCTTACACACTCACCCCCTCCTTCCCTCCCGTTAAAACTTTGCAGGGAAAAAAACCCACAAATGGCATTCATTTTATACCAATTTTTTTTTTGGGGGGGGGGAATAGTTTTTCCTACCACCTCCCCCCCCCCGCCGACTGCACCGAAAAAAAAAGAAAGCAACTTGTGGTGGTGGTGGGGGTGGGAGTGGGGGTACTGCAATCACCCGATTAATCTAAAAAAAAACTATTTGAACCCCCTCCTCCCCCCCAAAAAAAAACACACACACGCGCCCGCGCGCGCGCGCTTTGAGATGAGAGTTAATGCATTAAAAAAAAGGTATTTTTTCCTCTCCCCCGAGCGGGAGGGGAGGGGGTAACTCACCTTATTTTTCGGCATAGTCACAGGCGGTCGAGTGTGAGTGAGAGAGAGTGAGTGAGTGAGAGTGGCTGTGGCTCGGGCCGGGCCTGGCTCCGGGTGTCTCGCTGTGGCGACTGTTACAAGTTTGAACTCGGGAGAGCGCGGCGCAGATCCCTGTGCGGACACCTTTGCCGACGAGATGGGTCATGTATGCTAATGACATGCGCGGGCCCCCCCCCCACCGGACGCCGGCCTCCCATTGGCCCCGAGCCCCGCCGAGCCCGCCCGCCCGCCCGCGTCCCCCGGCTGCCATTGGAGGACGAGTCGTCAATCAACAGCGGTGACGTGTCCGCTCCAACCCCGGTGCGCTCGGCATTCTGGGAGTTGTAGTTCTCCCCCACACACACTCACTCACTCACTGACTGACTGACTGACAGACGCACCACCATTCGAGGTTTGCAGCGTTTTGTTTTGTTTTGAATAAAAACGCTGCAAACTGCTCACCTGCCAGCAGGCCTGTGGGGGGAGAGATTTGGGTGCATTCGTGGAGAGGCAGCCGATTTGCATATCCAATCCGGCAGTTAGAGGCCACAATACAATTGCCTCATTGGGTATTTTGAATGCACTGTCGCTAAGATCGGGGTTGAAAAAAAGTACAGCCCTCATTAAGCGAGAACTTTGCATAATGTATTGCATGTGTTGTCCTGCTTACGTTAGCGCAGCAACTGGTTTTGAAATTGTGCAGGGCGTTGTGTTAGAGTCAATGGCACTCACAGTTCCTTTGCTGCAATAGCTGTTGTTCAATAATAAAAACGTGGTCTCGTGATCCAGGTGGACATTCACCTCCCTCCAAAAATCCTGATCAACTGGTTGCTCATCTCATTGTGGCTTGCACCATGTTGCTGGCACAAATTAGCTGCTGTGCTCGCCTACAGAATAACAGTCACTTTATTCCTAAATCTCTTGTTTGCGAAGGGTACCAAACTCCATTTTTTAAAAGTTATTTTACAGTAATAACGAAATAGAATAGGGGAAGAGGGTTTACTGTTAAGTGTACTGACTGTATCTTGTAGTTGAACATGCCAGCCAATTTGCCCACAGTAATGTCCCACAAAGAGCCATGAAGTTAAGAGTATGAATTCAGTACATTGGGAGAGTGTTGCAGTGCAAGTTACAGGCAGTGTACATTGTAAATTGGTTCCCCACTGATGCACTGCAAAAAGTTGGGCAATACACAAGAACCTAATCCTTGACTGCCACAAGGTAACACTGAAAAAATAATTATTACAGTGATAAAGCTGTTCAAACAGCAGGTTAGTTTTATTAAGATTGACAAATACACATTTGTATAGCACAGTGTACATAAAAGACCATCTCAAAGTACTTGGCCAATCTGAGGCCTAAAATTTGACTAGTCTTTAGTTTATAACACCGTTTTATTTTAAAATTCAACACTGTGCAAAACAATGTGAAAATTCTTAAATCCCAGCTTAATTTGGAAGGCAAATTTGGAATCCACTTTTTAAAAACTGCTGAAAGCCAGTTTTGAAATTAAGCCTGAATTAAAAGATTTTCCACAATTCTGCGATGTCTTAAATTTTAAGACAACATGGTCTTACAGGCTAAAACTAGGTCGAACTTTAGGCATATAAGTGGTGCAAACCAAACAGGGAGATAAGGGGTTTAAAGAAGTTGACCAATGCAACGGTCAAAGAAATATGTTTTTAGAAACTTTTGAAGGCAGGGAGAGAGGCAGCATTGCAAAAGGGTTCTGAAAGAGGCTCAGAAAACAGGATTATGATAGCTGAATGCTCAGCAGCTAATGGTGGAGCAAAGGAGATAGAGAGCCGGCAATAGAGCAGAATAAGACTAGCAGAGGTTGCCTCACTGGGTATCACAAAAACACCTTACATAGATTTTATGTATTGTATAGTTATTCCCTACACTCAGTTGATGAGGTAAAATCTTCAGAATATTTCTCCATCCGCACATCATTCAAACCCATGTGCTTCAGTGTGCATCTATCCCTAGATCTTCCAATGTCCATCTAAAATAATATTAATAACCTTTACATTTGGTATTGCACCTTTCGCATCAAGAGAACATGACAAAGTGCTTCACAGGATTTACTTTGGCACACCAATGACCACACAAACAACAATGAAGTGAAATTACCAATTTTAATTTGGGGATTGTTGGCCAGGATAACAGGAGAAACTCTCTTCTCTTTTCGAACAGTGTAATGGGTTCTTTAACATCCACCTGAACAGGCAGATGGGGTCTCGGTTTAACATCTCATCTGAAAGGAAGGCACCTCTTAAGATACTTATCTAATTATTCAATGCCACAACAGCTGCTTGGGATTTGCAATCTACTGCATATTTCTACTACTATGTGGGAAGAAAAATTATTTTACTCTGTTACACTTGAGAATTTAAAATTTTAAAGCCATTCTCTCCAGGTCTGCTTTTGTGATCAAAGTCTAATAGCCTGCCTATATCTACAGGTGGTGTACATCTATGCCACATTGTCCCATTTTTCCAATAAGAAGAGGTCCAGCTCTGAGCCTCTCCCCATAAAGCAATGCTGTATGGCGCAACTGAAGGTTATGTGTAGAATTCTGGTTGTCATATTATAGTAAGGAAATCTTAGCACTATCACAACAACAATAGCCTGTATTTACATAACACCCTTCACGAGAATAATGTCTTGGAATATTTTTTACCCAGTAGTAAGTAGGAAACCAATTGTCCCAAAAATTGATCACTCAATCCATGACTATTTGTGGGACATTGCTGTTTGCAATTGACTGCTGAGTTTCATTCACAAAATACAAAGTCAATACACTTTACAATATATTCTATGAAGTGCTTTGAGACTTCTCAATGACATGATAAGATGCTATATCAGACGCAAAGATTATTGCTACGTAAATGCAGGTGGAGTAAGGAAACTCGGCTTAGGTTTTGCCCCAACCGGGTCCTCTCGCTTGCGAGGCGAGTGCACTAACCACTATTCTGCAGGACTCCTCTTTCAAGTTTTAAGGTGGGATTTAAAGATAGATAAAGAGGTGTTGAGTTGGAGGGATAGAGGCAGGGAGTTCCAGAGGTTAGGGTAAATTAGTACTGTAGTGGCATCCCATTATCAATCCATTAATGCTCAATCCGTACTGATAATCAATGTCTGCATTAAGGCTTCAGTTAGGAAACAAATGGACCAACCCCTTCAGTGGTTGAAGCATGGACACTGATGGTGGTGAGGAGTGATTGAGGGACACGCAGTATTCTGATGTTCACCGAGCCAAGGGGATAGAATGTGGAGTGGGGCAAGGCGGATCAGAGAGATAGGGAGGTAATAGGGTGTGAAGGGATTTGTAGGTAAGGGTGAGCATCTTCAAATTGATCCTTTCAGTGACAGGCAACTAGTGGAGGGTGTACTGGTGAGGATGCAGGCGGCTAAGGTTTGTATGAGTTGGATCCTGTGGATGGTGGAACTGGAGACACCAGTGAGGAGTGTGTTTGAGAATTCAAGGCTAGAGGTGTCAAAGACGTGGATGAAGGTTTCAGTGACTGTTCAATAGAATGGGGGAGTGGGGGGGAATAAATTGAAAATAGTATATTGTAAAAGAATACCCTGGTGTAATTTGAAAACAGTTATGTAGCCTTAATATTTCAGATAATTGTTAGAAGACATCTAATGAGGTATGTGATATCCCATGATTGATTAGTGCCTTGTAATCACTCCCAGGTATTCAGTATATCAAACACTGGATGCATGATCTTTGTCATTCTGCATTCACTGTCATGTGAATCTGTACACCCTGAGATGGAAGATCACAATAGCCTTCCTTATCTTTTGATGTGTCTCATACTGACTCGAATCTTCGATAGCATCAAGCCACATCGTGGTAGGAGAGTAAATAGTTTGAAAAAAAACTAGGAAAAATAGAGCTAAATATTTGTATATTTAATATATTTCTGCCTTTTGTATTGTTTGCCACTACACTTTTAGTCACCTTTTCGTCTCCCCTCCCACCCCACATTTCTCAGTTTCCATACCCCACAGCTCAGGCTCCCAGTCAGCTGTGGGAAGTGCTTTGAGCTGTCCTCCTGATGTGAAAGTTGTTGTTGGCTTCGAAGGATTGAAAGCACAGCAGCACAATATGGATCTTTATAGTTAAAAAGAAAAGCTGGAGAAAGCACAGGGAGAACGAATAGGATCAATAGTTGTGAGGAAGGACTGTTTCCTCTTATGACACTTTTGTATTGCTGTTTGGGGGGTTGGGGGGCAGTGGGAGTGGGGTGGGGGGATGGGGAGTGGGGTTGAGATGAAATGCAGCGACAAATTGAAGGCATGCCACCTTTTGAACCTTTGCTGCACTTACATTGCCTCCAGACTTTTCTACTTGCACTACCTACACAATTACAAACCATTTAATGCACACTCAGAATATAATTGGGTCCATGCAATCTGTACATGCTGCGGTTGAAAGCCACAAATGCCTTCATTATCGTTTGATGTCTACTTTAACAGTGCTGAGCTAGCTGCATTGTGGTAGGACAGTTAATGTTTTGCGAAAGAATGGAACAAGTCAGTATATTTTACTCATTTGTAACTTTTTTTAGGGGTTAATAGCAAAGTCAGACCATTAGTGAAAAAGAACACACCCCAGCACTGACCCTTTTCAACACAGAGTTGAATCTCCTTGATGAGGCAAAGGGAAATCCGACTGCAAGTCGACTGCAAGTCGACTTCTCTGAAATTCTGTGCTGGGGAAACCGTCTGGTTTACATTAAGTGCGTTGCTCTGAAGGCGGCCTTGTCTCAGGAGGCAAACTCAGAAAATAAAAGTGACGACCAAACTTTTTCAGAGAAATCACTTAGACGCATAAAGTTTAGGCTAAAGATGTTTCAGTGTAAAACATGCACATAAATTTGGTAAGTGGATTATCTTGGTCTGAGGACATTATACCGTCTTTGGTGTTTGCATTTCATACCTTGCATATTTGATTAGAAATTACTTTTAGCTCGAAGTCCAGCTTTCTTTGTGTCTAGTAAGATTCCCTAAACTAATTCCTATTGTCTCAATCTGGTCTCCACTCCTGCTCAAACATCCCCCCTCTCACACCGGCTCTGGCCCCCTCTCAAACTCCCACTCTGCTCCTTGCTCCCACTCAAACTTGGCGCCTGCACTGTTTCCCACTCCACTCAAACTTCTCTGGCTTCAGTCT